AGTCTCCCCCTCTGGAGCCATCCCAAACCCGCCTGGACGCCGTCCTGTGCCACTGCTGGAGGTGCCCCTGCTCTGGCCGGGGGTGGGATGGGGGAGCTCCAGAGGGCCCTTCCCATCCCCACCACCCTGGGATTCTATGTACAGCCTCCTGCGGCACCTGGCTGCTGTTCCCCTGCCGTACCTCGGAGCGTTGCTAGTTGTATATGTATTTTATGGCGGTGCTGCTGTTTGTTTAGGGGCAGTACACATTACAGGTTGTGTTTTACCAACTTAAGCTGCAGCTGGAAGCTCGTGATGATGGAAACTTGCTTAGTGTCTTTTCCTTCTCATCCTTTTCTTTCTCATGGTAAAGACCCCCCCACACACACACTTTGCAGCTTCAGCCTTCGCTGCACGTTGGCCTCTGTCTTATGCCGTCGCTGTGGGAAAACACTGGCTTGAACCGTCGGTTTTTGGTTGTGTGCCGATGGGGTTTCTCATAGTGCTTAGGCTTGTTTTGTTTTGTAGCTGCTGAAACCACAGCTGTCCTGGCAAGCCTGGTCAGCCTGCAAATTAATCTTAGAGATGAGCATGTCAAGGACTTCTCGTGACGGCAGCTGAAAGGGGTTTCTGGAGGACCCCCCTGGAGCCGCCTCCTCTTGCTTAAGCCATTTGGTGGCTTTTCGGCAAGGCTGACGGCGCTGGTTTCCTGGGGCAGGCGGAGGAGCTGCCTTGAGGATGTTCTTGAGGACAAGAACAGCCCTTCTCCTCACCTGGGAACTAACTGCTGAGGTGAGACAGCTCAGTGAGAAACTGGAGATGCGCTGGGCTTGGACCTCCCTTCCTCGCACTGCAGCTGCACTAATGACAAAGTCCTTTCTCCAGCCCTAACCACGTTGCAGTCGTCCTCCGTGACAACCCGAACCGCTCCTGACCAGGCTGGTGCAACAAGACATCTGCAAGTTGACTTTGCTGTGTCTCCACATGGTTCCTAACGGGTGCGGGAGGTCCCGTACTGTAGTGGGAACCCCTGAGGAGAAACAGGAGAAACATCTCACCTACGTCTGTGATGCGAGAGAGGAGAGTGGAGAGGAGGACGGGTATGATGGGGCTCGTTGGGAGGGATGGAGCGAGTGTTTTCTTGGCTCCGGCTAGGACAGTCAACTGTGGGTGACCTGCCTGGTGCAAGTAGACTTTGGAGCTTCCCTGCTTGTAACTAAGGTCTTGAAAGCACTCAAGTATGAGGGTGGCAGAGCAGCTGAGCTCCTGCGAGCTGTTGCACTGTGGTTTGTTTAGACTTTGGGGTTAGGGCCGCTTGCCTCGGCTTGGGTTTGGCAGTGGGAGGTTCTGCATCCACCCGTCTCGACACAGGTCCAGGGGAGCAGTTACTCCTGTTTCAGCTGATAGCTGCGGGGCGCTGGAAAGGCACGGCTAACCTGTTTGACTGACCCCGTGCTCCCCTCCCGTGGGCTTTTTCGGACACGGGTGGGTACCACACCGAGCGTGTGGCTTGGCTGGGGAGCTGCTCCAGCTGAAAAACAGGCCAGCAAAAAAAAAAAAAAAATCATATAGGGAATTCAGAACTTGAGCATGGCATAGGTCGGGCAAGAGTGAAGTCTTCTCCGGCCAACAGGATCTGACCCAACCACTGCTTATTTCCTGGTAAAAGCATATTGTGTTCTCTGTGGCTTTTGTTAGCTGCAGGGACACCCGGGTGGTTGTCTGTCACATGAACGTCCAGTCTGAACTTGGAGAAATTATGCTGTGTTCAGGAAAAAAACCCAACCAAAACCCAACAAAGGCGAATTATATCTGAGCGTGTTTGTACAGCGGCATGTCAAATCAGTGACCCTTTGCGAGAACATGCAAAACTAGAGACCTGACTCCTGTTAGTTACACAATTCTGGATAGAAAAGGACCCTGGAGCATCCCTGTGCTCCTGGCAGCAGCAAGAAGGGGCGGTGGGAAGGTTGGGGAGCAGCATCTGCAAAGACCATGCTGGTCCACTAAGGGCAGGTAACCTGGTGGACCCGAAGCCGCGACGTTTGGTGTTGCTGCGTGTGCCCAAGCTGAAACCAGGACTACTGGGACGCTTGCGGTTGTCGGCGCACTCTTACCTTATGCAACGAGGATTAATCTAAGTAGGTGGAGAAGTATTTCTTGGCTGGTTAACAGCGGGGTGAGGCTCCTGGAGGAGCTTGCTGCCTTCAGATAGGTGGCAGGAGCCGGGGAGGGGTGGGGGCGAGGACTGCATAGCTCGTAGCAAATCATCCTTGTTCGCACCACGATAAACTTATCCTGGATGACACAGGGCTGAGCCTGTTCTCGGCTCTCCGCCTCTCGCGTTGCAGCAGTGGCGCGGGAGGTCCGGGGTTTGGTTACTCCTGGGGCTGTTTGTCCTGTTTGGGTCCACGGCTTTAACGAAAGGCGCAAACCCGTAGACCGGGCTGTGCTGGTGGTGATGCACGGGGCAGCACGTGCGGGTTAGGTGGGTTCAGCATACACTCACCGCCCGCTCTGGGCTGCGGCGGGAGCTTTTGAACCCCTCTGGGACGGCCGGGATGATAAATAGAAAAATAAAAATTGATATCTATCGCCTCCCGTGTGAAAGCCGCTGGCGTGGAGATACTGGGGGTTAGTTCCTGACCACGCAGCGCTTCAGTCCTGCACATGCCAAACTGATGGTTTATTGCTCTACAGCAGCACTTATCCCTAATTACCTTTCTGATGAGATGACACTGCCGCGTGCTTAAATTATGCTGCCTGCTTCGAAGGCATCGCAGCAATAGAGCGGGGTGAGATTGAGATCTCCAGGGGTCCGTGTTGGACTCTGAAGCAACGCCTTCAGGTTCAAACATGCAGAGTGGGAGGAAAAAACCAACCAAACCACCCCAAAGCCCGGCTGGATGTGACCGTGTCGGCAGTGGTGGGTCCTGCTGAGTCACGCTGACGGCGGAGCCGCTGCCGGGGAGTTTCTGTGGGGCACGGTGAGATCCGCAGAATTCACAGAATTGTTAGGGTTGGAAGGGACCTCTGGAGATCATCTAGCCCACCCCTCCTGCCAGAGCAGGGTCACCTACAGCAGGTTGCACAGGACAGTGTCCAGGCGGGTTTGGAATGTCTCCAGAGTGGGAGACTCCACCACCTCTCTGGGCAGCCTGTTCCAGTGCTCCACTACCCTCAAAGTAAAGAAGTTCCTTCTCATGTTAAGATGGAACTTCCTATGTTCGAGTTTATGCCCATTACCCCTCGTCCTATCACTGGGCGCCACTGAAAAAAGACTGCTCCCATCCCCCTGGCATCCTCCCGTTAAGTATTTGTATGTATTAATAAGATCCCCCCTCAATCTTCTTTTCTCCTCCCTCCTGAGGAGCATCCGTGGGACGGGAAGGTGCAGAGCCCTGTGGAGGGGTCGCAGGACCCTTGCGCCTGCTCAGCGCCGGGTTGAAAACCTCCTTTTAAATTCCAAGGTAATTCAGTGCTGCCACTGCCTTTGAAGGAGGATTATTATTTTTTTTTTTCCCTGAGCCTTCGGGTTTATTTCCAGCGCTGCTCATAGGTTACAATGCATTTAGTGCTCTGGAACAGGAAGCTTTGCTCGAGGCTGCCAAATTCCCCGTCGTAGGGTGATGCCTTGTCACGGTCGCCGGCCGATGCTGAAGCCTGAGCTGCGGCAGGCTGCTGAACTGACTCACTTCGCGAGTGCAATTCCTGTGCAGTTTTTCTGAAGGCTATTTTACTCCAAATGCAATGATTTGTTTGGCTTAGCCTCACGCCTTGCTTTGCTGCTTTCCTAGCTTGGCTTTATTCTGCTGGGGTGAAGTCCTGAATTCTTGCTTGGTCTCAGAACGCGTCTGTGAAAGTGCTTTTCGGTTCCCAGTAACTACAGTGGTTTGGGGAGTCGAAGGGCTGAACCTTGAAACATTTTTATTGGATTAACCTTGCCTGACAGCTTAGCTGTGGTGTTGCCTCCTGGCTAATTACTGAAATGAATTGATAAGCTGGAAGGGACGTGTGCCAAGGGGGAAGCGGGGAGGTGGCGTGGGCCATCCTTGCGTTGTCGGGGGCTGTTGGGTCTCTGCCGAGGGACGGAGCCGTTCGTGCCGCTTTGCCGGAGAGGGCAGCACTAGTGCCCGGAGAAACTTCATGCTGAAGATGGGGTGTCCCAGAGCTGAAGGTGGGGTGTCCCAGCTGAGGGGGCAGAAGGTGTCCTCCCCGTCAAACCCAAAGCATCTGTGAGTTGCAGTTCACGGAATCATGGAGGTTTCAGAGTTGGAAGGGACCTCTAGAGATCATCTCATCCAACTCCCCTGCTAAAGCAGGATTGCCCAGAGCACGTCACTCAGGACTGCACCCAGGCGGGTCTTGAAAACCTCCAGAGAAGGTTTTTCTCCCCGGGCAGCCTGTGCCAGTGCTGTTACCCGAACCGTAAAGAAGTTTTTCTGTGTATTTGAACGGAACTTCCTCTGTTCCAACTTGTGCTCGTTGCCCCTCATCCTCTCACTGGGAACCACTGAAAAGAGTCTGGCTCCATCCTCCTCCAACCCCCCCTTTAGATACTTGTACGCAATAATAAGGTCTCCTCTCAGCCTTCTCTTCTCCAGGCTAAAGAGTCCTAGTTCTCAAGCTTCTCCTTGAAAGACCGCTAAGTTGATGTTGCGGGTTGCCCAACACGCGTCTCCCGTGGCTAATGCCCTTTGCCAGGCGCCTGCTGTGTTTGTGCTTCGAGGCGGCAGGCTGTATCCCTTCAGATGGGTTTCGGTGCGATGAAGTGTATCAGCCGGCTCGCAGACCGGCAGGACCTGCGGGCCGCTCAGTGGGAGCGACAGAGCCCTTCGCCTCTTGATGCTCTGGATTTGCTGGGATGGCCGTAGAGGTTTAAGCCCTGCCGGTGTCTCTGCTGTTGCTGGTGGGAGGTGGATGGGGTCTGTGCCCCGCAAACCCCCATCGCGGGTCGGCATCGTCACTGCCGGGGCTTTGAGCACTGCTGCTGTGTGATGGCATCAGCCTGCAGAAGCCCAAAACAAGCTAAAAGAAGTAATTTTTCCCACAGCGCGTAATTAAGTGATGGCATCGAGTTTAATAGGATGCTTTGGCTGCCAGGAGCTTAGCTGCCTTCCGAAACCTGTGGAAGAAAAGCCCCTCGAGGACTATTGAAACAAAGATGTGGATGAAACCACCGCCTATCTGGGGAAGCTGGTGGCTGCTGGGCACCGGGAACTGGGGGGGAAAGATGGGGCGAAAGGTGGCTCTGTGCTCCTCTGGGTTCCTGGGGGACGGTCACCAGCTGGATCTTCCTTGGGTGGCCTTTCCCTGTCTGGCCATCTACCGGGGGGTTACTGCGGGTACCCCGTTGCCTCAGCTTGCCCTTCTAGGAAACTTATTTCCCAGTGGAGCGGCCCGAATCTGCCCCCCAAGTGTCCCGAGCAGCTGAGCGACCGCAGGAGGAACAAGCCGGGGCAGAGCGCCGGCAGTGTTGTAAGCAAGAGGCAATTAAGGACCTAACTGTATTTCTTCACGGAGTCTTTTGAACAGCTGCCTTAGCTTAATTCCCTGTACTTGCCGTGCATAAACAAGAGCAGAGGTTACGCTTCCCTCTGCTGAGCACCTCTCTGAGCCGCCCCGTAAGGTTTTGGTGTTGCGACGGGAGCGTGGAGCTAATCTCGCTGCTCCGGCAGGCAGAGCCGCCGGCACAAGCGAGGGATGAATTATTGACCCCTCTAACGATCTTGGAAGCCTCGTCGCTCTCTAACTCTCTGGCTCGTGCTTGTCGCAAATAAAGACCGGTAACCGAGACCTCTCTCTCTGTGTGCTTTTGCAGACGAGGATGCAGAGCTTGCAGCCGGACCCCAAAGCCCAGTACAGGAGCGTGTACGAAGCTCTGAAGAAGATTGTCCTTACGGAAGGTTTCTGGAGGCCTTTACGTGGGATTAATGTCACCATGCTGGGGGCTGGTCCTGCCCACGCCATGTACTTTGCCTGCTATGAAAAAATGAAAAAGTCTCTAAGTGATACTATCCAGCACGGAGGAAACAGCCACTTGGCCAATGGTATTTTGGGGGGTTTTATTGCAAAAAAATAATAATAAAAAAAAAATCCCGCTTGCAGTTAACAGCCTGTCCCTTGCTTGCCTCTCACGCTTAGCCTGGCTGGGCTGGTGGTCACAGGGGGGTAGAGAAGTCCTTCCTGGCCTGGAACCCCTGATGGCACTGCTGGGTGTCCTCCAAAGCCCGAGTCAAGGTTTCTGCGCTTACCCTTTAATCGCAAATTATTCTAGCACAAGTAATCAGTGCGTTGGACGAGAGGTGTTGGGCTGCAGTGGCAGGTTGTTTCTGGCTGTGTGGTGGAGGTGTATCTAAACCTCTTGAGCTTTGCAGTACGGGTTATTCCATGCGTCTCTCTTGGAGCTCCAGCGCAGTAAAGCGCACTGCATCTTCATGTGTTCGCATGCCTCGGTGAAGGGTTTGCTTCTGCCAGGAAGGCTTTTGCTTTTAGGTCCAACAATACTGCTGTAACAGCAGAAACCCTCTAACTGAGCAGCCAAGCGTTTGGGCAGAAGACACTTCTGCCCGGTCCTTGACATGATGCCATAGTGGGAATCTGCCATGGCAGTCACTTGACTTGACTCAACCCAACTCAGTTAAGGGTTTATGATATCTCTCTGGCTCGCTGCTTGTTGCTAGCAGTGTGTTTCCTGTGTTTGCCTTTCAAGTAGCTACAGGCTTTCAGTACCAGCGGGAAAAGTGAGGCGCGGTGTTAATGAGAACTGACCAAAAGTCATTTGGGCAAGAGAGAATTTGAGATGGAAACCTACATCAAAGGGGAAGGTGTGGCTGGAGAGGCCCATCCCAGAGCCAACTGCCGAATCATTAATGGCTGGCTGGATGCTTGCAGAATCCGTGCAATTAGTGTTTAAAACTAGACTGAGTAAATGGATGAAAATGCCTAATTATGGATGCACTGAGCCAGTTCTAAACATTGCTCATCTCTCGGTCTAGCGCGGGCTGAGGGAAGCCGGCGGCGTCTTGCTCAGGCAAAACCCTGTGAGTTGTGGGGAACGGCAGAGGTGACGGCTGCGATCCTGTGAGCAGATCCTGGTTTCCATCAAGCTGCTGGGGCTGGGCTTTTCTCCGCTGGGCATGAGCCGTGCTGCTGGGGCTTCCTTGGGCTGCAGCTCCCCGGCAGTGGTACCCGGGTACTCGGTGGCACGTGGGCTGCGTTCACCATCCGCCGCTGCCTCCGTGGGTGGCAGTGCCCGAGCAATCCCCTGCCTTCTCAACCTTTTTTTTATTATTATTATTTTTTATTGAAGGATGCTCTTGTGTCTTGCAGGTATAGCTGGGAGCGTGGCCACGCTACTCCACGACGCGGTGATGAATCCCGCTGAAGGTAATGCCCTGGTGAGGTGCTGGGGACACCCCGCACCATCTCAGCAGCTTTAAGCCCTTTGCTTTAGAAACTCTGCCCAGCTTTTAATGAGCTCGGACCGGCCAGTGTAAAGGGATAAATCCTGCCTGGCTGTTTTCCCCTTGCTTGCCGAGGGGTTGCGCAGCATCTGTGTGGCATATCGTGACTTTCCAGGGAAACTGGTGTCACCTTTGCTCGTGCGATGCTGTTACTGCTCTGCTGGTGCATCTTTCCCGAAGTTTTTCCTGAAACTTTGGACCACCCAAACACAACTGAGCTCAGTCACATTGTTAGATAAGCACAGCAGCCCCGGGAGCGTTGCGCAGCTTTCCTGGGTAGGTAGAGTCTGGCGTTAAGAGGACTAACAGTAAAATGCAGCTAAAATGAAGACAATTAGCTGGACTTCACTCTTAATGTATTGTACTTCTGAGTTGGCCCAAAGTCAGTTTTTTCCGAAGGGGAAAAAAATGTCTCTAGTATTTCAAACCCTTTTAATCATATCCTGATTAAATGAATTGAATTAATTGGCTTTTCCCTTAAGTCAATGGAAGTTGTTCCACTTCTGGTCTTGGGGTGGATGCGGTACATTTAGTCAACTTTCTGCCCTTGTCCTCTTGGTATGTCAGTGTTTCTGCCCAACAGCTCTGTGTCCTCACAGATGCATCTGAGGGTCGTTCTCAGTCTGTCTTAATGCCTTTGTAGCTAGAAGTAAAGGTTCCTTAATTAAGCTTGAGGAGAGGAATGCATTAGCCCGTGGAAGCGGCGAGCTGTTGAACCGGGGCTGAGCTCTGACCTGCTTCCCTCACTTGTTGCAGTGAGTTTTTTGGGGGGCTCTGGGCAGGTTGGGGGAAGCAGAGGGTGCACGCAGCCTTCTGGTGAACGCCTGTAGATACGGAGCTGGTCGCTAGAGAAATGCCCGCGCTGTGTCCTAGCGGTTTGGGCTTGGAAAGGGAGGTCGGGTCTGGATGGTTGGGACTTGAAGCTGGGTTCGGTCCGGGGGTTGTGCTGACCAAGAAACATCTGCCTTGGCTAATAAGCCTTTATCTCCCTGCCCCTTCCCTGCCTGGTGCTGCCCGCCCTGCCGTCACCCGCTGCGGCTGTCGCCTGGACCAGTGGTGAAGCAGCGGATGCAGATGTTCAACTCCCCCTACAAGTCCGTCCTGGCGTGCGTAAGGACAGTGCAGAAGACGGAGGGGTTCGGTGCCTTCTACCGCAGCTACACCACCCAACTCACCATGAACGTCCCCTTCCAGGCCATTCACTTCATCACCTACGAATTCATGCAGGAGCAGATCAACCCACGCCGGGAGTATAACCCTCGGTCCCACATCGTCTCCGGGGCCGTCGCGGGGGCTGTGGCCGCCGCCGCCACCACTCCTCTGGATGTCTGCAAGACTTTGCTCAACACCCAGGAGAACATGGCCTTGAGCTCTGTGAACATCAGCGGGCATCTCTCGGGCATGGTGAACGCCTTCAAGACTGTCTATCAGCTGGGGGGCGTCTCGGGGTATTTCAGAGGGGTGCAGGCACGCGTCATTTACCAGATGCCTTCAACGGCCATCGCCTGGTCCGTGTATGAATTCTTCAAGTACTTTCTCACAAAGCGCAAGCTGGAAAAAAGAACATCCTTGTGAAGGGCTTCCCGAGAGTGACGGCCAGCCTCCCTGTCCCCTCTGCCTGTGTCTGTGTGTGCCTGCAAGCCAGCCAGCTCGGGGTCTCTGCTAAGGGTCGTGCCAGGTTTCGGGTGGATTCACGGCTGATGTCCGCTTCTCCCTCCCCAGGGAAGGAGGGATGAAAGTGGTCCTCAGTCACGTGTTCGCCTCCTTGCTTAAACAGTGAAATAGTTTATAAAGACTTCTAATAATATATATATATATTTAATAACTTTATTTTGGAGAGGTGAAATTGCTAACTGATATTTTTCTCTGAATAAGTTGGAAGATGTAGTTTACTCCTCACCACAAGGCTTAGGTTATGCAGCCTAAGCCGGGGTTATTTTTACAGCGAAGAAGCAAAATATCATGTCACAGAACTTACTTTTTATATAAATATAAAATAGATGGATAATGTTTATCCTTTATTTTTCTATGTAGGCATTTGGGTTGTTTTTTAAATGCTATTACAGCTAGATGTCGAGCTGTTTAAAAAGGGCTAAATTCTTCCATCCTGTGTAAGGAAGACGCAAAAGCATTTATTTTTATAGCCAGATTGGCTTTAATTATACAGCATTTATCCCCCAAGTGGTGGCCTGGATTCTCTTGTGGGTGTCAAGGTACTTGGTAGCCCCTTGTGACTTGCTGGGATTGGGGGGGGAGAAAGAATTGGGACACTTTGGGAAACTGTAGGACACCGATGAGGGGCACCCTAAAATAGCTGGTCACTTTGTGGGGGAGAGGGGAAAACTATAAATTCAATTTATTTTTTTTTTTTTTTTACAAGGAGATTCTTAAAAAAAAAAGTAGATTTTAAAGAATAGTTGTTCTTTTTTTTTTTGCAAACACCTTTTTTTAAAGGTACATTTTTATGGTGTGTGATAGCTGAACAGTCTTCATCCTCCCTTAATTTATTCATACTTCTTTTTCATGAAGGCCCTGATCCCGCTGACGGGAGCACCCGTGCACATCTCCGTAGCTGGTGGGATCAAAGTGGGGTGCACGGAGCCCTTGGAGGGGGGACCTGGAGCTTCTGTTTACAGTCCGGCTACTGAACCGCAAGGGTCGCATCCTGCCAGCGCCAACCCGGCAGCGAAAACCTTGGGGAAAGCCTCACCTGCAGAACCGAAGCCACCTCCCGGCCCATGTTTGACAATAAGCTGCTGCTCATCTCTGTTGGGCGAGAGGGGGAAACCAACCTAGAGAGGTTCCTCCTGCCGTGGGGTTGGGTTTGCTGCTGCGGGATGCTGAGCTTTGCGGTGGCCGGCGGAGCCGTGCCTGCTCGGGAAGGGCGGCAGCCTTGCTGCATGCCCCGCTCCTCCTGGGAACGGCTCTTCCAAACCAAAAACCTGTCCTTCAGCACATTGCTTGGGTGATCCGGTACCTAATGAGGGATTTCAGGGGCTTGGATGTGCAAATACAAGTTATGGGACAAATCTCCATCCTCCCTGGATCGTGCCCCGCCAGCGAGTTCCTGGTGTCTCATGCTGGTACCATCTCCGTACTGCTGGGCACGGGGTGGCTTCTGGAGATGTGGCTCCAGTTTGCTGTCGGCACTGGGAGGGGTGGGCTGTCTGCTGGGGGAGCAGCTTTTGGGCTGGAGGTGTCCCATCAGCCAGGTGTGTCTTGTAGGATGACACTAAGCAGAGCTAATCCTTCTGCTCCGTAGTCTGGAGAAGGTAAATCAAAGAGCACCTCTCTGGGTGGTGTTGCATGTGCCTTGTGTGAGCGAGCCTTGTGCCACTGATGATGGTGGAATGAGCTTCCTGATGCCTTGTTGTCACTTAAACTGAATGAATCACTGTGTCAAATGCACCCTGTGTCTTAAAGTGTAAAAATTGGGAGCTTCAAGGCCTCTGGTCTCGGTGGTGCAGCTGGAGAAAGCCTCCAGCGCGCTCTGCACGCAGACATCCCCGAGGTGGGGGTCTCGGAGCTCTCTGTTGGCCTTGGATGTCTTTTTCTATTGACTTTAGAAACTGGAGAGTCACTAACAGGAACCAGAACTGCACAAAATACTTCCATTGGAGATGGGCACAAACACTTAGATGAAAATTTTGGGTCACTTTAATATTAAAAGGCAAACTGTAGCATTAACGTGGAAGGTGCCAGCTTTCAGTGTGACTTCGGTAGCTAGAAGTCATGCTCAGCAAGCGGTCGCCGGTACATCATCCTCTTCCTCCAGCTGCTTAGCTTTAGTATTTCTGACTTCACCTTGGCAATTCCGGGAGAACGTCACCTCCCGGTTGGAGGAACCTGTGAGTAGCTGGGACACGAGGGATGGACGTGGCTGTGGAACCATTGGGAGGGCGGTCACGGTTTGGGCCAGCCCGAGCGTTGTCCTTGGAGGGGGAGGTATCATCCCGTTGCGGTTGCTAGCCAGAAAAATGCGAGCGTGTCCTGAGTTTTGAGCACATAAATAATTGCCAACCAGGTTTTCTTGGGAGCTTGCTCTGCCTTGAGCTGAGAGCGGGTGAGGAGCACTTGGGTGGTCGTGGAGCTTTTTACCCCAAGTATCCGATAAAACCAGGGGTCCCATTCTGCAGCTGGGGATGTGCCCAGTGGGTCTACTAACTGGAGAGGTCTCGTGTTTAAACTGTTCTGTGCTGGATCCCCAGGTGAAAGCGCCTTCACCAAAGCCGTTGCTCCTCGTCTCTTCTAAGTTTTGCATTTCAAAGTTTTGCTGCGAGTCTGAAGTTTTATTTAAACCTGGTATGTGAAACGTATACTGCTGCTTTGTCTGCAACAAACGCACATATTATTTAAGGGGGAGGATGAGTAACTTTGTCCGCAGTTCTTAATTTTTATTTTTTTTTTTTTTGCCTGCCTTGGAATTTAATGTGTTTCCTTAAATGTATATTTAACAATGCAGGAGTTCGTTTGTGAAATGCTGCTACAGTTGTATCACTGGAGCTCAAGGAAAATAAAAATATTCTGATTTTTTTTGTCCTTTTAGGCTCCTGGTTGTGGCTTTCCTTAGCTGCGTGCCTTGGGCATGGAGCTCCAGCTAAGGCTGAGCAGCAGCAGGAGCGTGTCTGGCTCTGCCCGGTGGCCGCCGAACAGGCTCATCTCTGGAGGAACGGTGCCTTCTAGTGTCGCCTGAACGCTTGGCAGGCTCAGCACCCCGCCAGCTGAGTCAGATAGAGCCCTTCGTCATCGCACCGGAGGAATAAAATACTTCTGGGAGGGGTTTTGCAGCCTGGCAAGAGCTGACATCTGTATCGTGGGCTCGCACTCCTCTAGGAGCCGCTGAAGAGTTTTGAAACTTGTTCCTCTTGGCGAGGAGTTGGCTTCTGAGATGCACAAAGCTAACCCGCAGACTGGGGCTTGTCCGGCACCGAAGCAGATTCCCAAAGTGGGATTTCTTCTCCCCCGCCCTCAGCAGAAAGTGCATGGGGTGTCCTGGGGGAGCTGCTTGTTTGCTTGAGGTTTCAATAATATTTGCAGCCGAGTTTGGAGGGGGGAAAAAAACCCACAGAATATATTAATCTGCATTACATCTTACCTTCCCCTTGAATAAAAAGGAAAGGATGTGTTCATTGGTACAGTTTGTGCGCAGCACTGGTGCTGGGGGAGGAATGTGGGGTGTGTGAGCTGCCCCAGAGCCTGTGACCGAGCTGTCCCATGGCAAATGAGACCCCCAGCGCTTGGCCAAAGTGGGGTCTAAAGGAAAAATGTGAGGTTTAACCAAAATGTTCCAATTTTAAGCTCAGCCTGAGCTGGCAATGGGTGATCGCAGCCCAGAAAGCCAACTGTGTCCTGGGCTGCATCCTCAGCAGCGTGGCCAGCAGGGCGAGGGGGGATTCTGCTCTGGGGAGACCCCACCTGGAGTACTGCCTCCAGCTCGGGGGGTCCCAACGTAGGAAAGACATGGACCTGTTGGAGGGGGTCCAGAGGAGGCCCCGGAGATGCTGGGAGGGCTGGAGCCCGTCTGCTGGGAGGACAGGCTGGGAGAGGTGGGGGGGTTCAGCCTGGAGAGGAGAAGGTGAAAAAGGGGAGACCTCAGAGCCCCTTCCAGTGCCTAAAGGGGCTCCAGGAGAGCTGGGGGGAGGACTCCTGATCAGGGAGGGGAGCCGTGGGATGAGGGGGAATGGCTTCAAACTGGCTGGAGGTGTTCAAGGCCAGGTTGGACAGATTTTGGCGTGTTCCCAGTCTGGCAATTAAGAGATGTGCCTAAAATCCTAAAGATGAAGTTCTGTTGGGATGCAGCCAGCCAGCAGTTCTGCCCCAGCTCCTGCCGGGCTGGCAAAGGGCAGCTCAGCTGGGAATAATGATGATAATTCCCGGGTTTAGCAGCAAACACCCACCTGGGGAGTCGGGAACGGCTGCAAAGGGAAGCAGCAGTAGCAGCAAGATGCCACTGTCCTTGGTCCACCCCAACGGAAAAAGGACTTTCCTTTTCTTGTCTATTCTATCATTTTTCTTTCCCTTGTTGTGGTTTGCTTTGGTTTTCTTTCTTTTTTTATTTATTTTTTTTTTTACTGTCAGTGGAAAATCAAGAAGGCGCAACGGCGTATCGCCGATGGTGGGGTGGAGCACAGGCGGCCTCGCCTGGCTGATGATGAGCTTAAGAGACAAGATCAGAAGATAAAGCGATATTTATGCTCGGCACAATGTTTTTGACAGGTTTCTATTTCCGTTTGCGTTGTAGAGTCAATATTTAACCCCCTTTCCCTTTCTGTAGTAAACATGTGTGTAGCCCTGAAAGGTGAGGTATGTCACACGCTTCGCGCGTACCTCTTAAACACTAAATACTGGTTCTGTACGAAGGCTGGTGGGGAGCCCTGCATTTCCCTGCATTTCTTTTTATCTTAGTCACCATTCAGCTCCATCTTGTTCCCAGTAACTCCTCAGGAACTGAGATATGCCCTTAATATGTATCTGCACGGGCGGGAATTTTTGTGCTCGGCTGACGTGTGGTTACAGGGGATGCAAATTCCGCAATTAAACTTGCAGGTAAATTGCTGATAACGCCTATTCCTGTCCATCCGGGTCTTCCCCATTAGACCCGGGGGCACTAAGGGATTTTTACCCCTGAGTTCCTTGAGGCTGTCAAAGCTCTGACTTCAGTCTAGTGCAATAAAAGAAAAACACGCAGGAAAACTGAAAACCTGTGGGAAGAGACTCTGGGCCTTTGCAGGATGCCCTGGGAGAAGCTGTCCTCGCCTGCTCGAGAGGGACATGTGGCTGCAGCCCTTCGCCCCCCCCCCGACTTCAGGCTGCTCTGCCTCCATTTGCCCAGTGAGTAATTTAAACTTTTCTTATCTTTTCTCTGGTTTTGGTTTGCCCAAAAGTTGTCTGACTTTCTTAAACGTTCATATTGTGCTGCATCCTGCTGGTGCTGCAAACAATAATGGAAAATACGGCTGGGTTTTGAGGGGAAATAAAGAGGTATTGATCGTTAGGAAGGTGTGGGTTGGCTGCAGAACTGGGAACGCCTGAGCTGAGCCCCAGTTTTCCCAGCAGGAAAAGGCTGTGGGCGGGAGAAGGGGGTGGTTTTTCCCTGGATGGAGCGAGCCGAGATTACTAGAAAGGCTGAAGGACCTCTGCAAAACATCACATCAATGGTTATCTCTTCTCCCTCCTTTCTGCTTTAAACCTCCGGCATCTGCCCGGCTTGTTGATGGCCGTTAAGTGGAAAAGGGGAATTCCTGGAGCCGAGCAGGACGGGACAGGTCTGTGGGGCACGTGGGTACCGAGAAGCGGCAGAGCAAGCAAAGCCCAAGGGCATCGCCCTGGCTCCTCCATCACCTCCGAACTTTCGGGACGGCTCCCCGGGAGGGGGAATGAGCTGCTGGAGGTGCCACCCGTGGGCATGTGGCACTTGCCAAGAGCTGTGACAACACCGATGTCCCTGTCCCCCTCCGGGCTGGGTGGTGCTTTACCCTGGGAACGCATCTGATTTTCGAATTGACACTAATGGTTTCTTTGGAACCAGTACAGATTATTGTGTAAACATCTTTTGAGGGTATTTTTTTTTTTTAATGTGTTTTATTTATCTGGTAGACCGTAGCAACTCCTTAAACTTGCAAGATTTCCTGCAGCGAAGGTCCGTAGGGCAGCGGGTATTCGCTTTGCTGTGTCCACCACTTGTTGGTATATTGAAGTCTTGGGTTGGTACCAACAAATAAATTCCCTTCTACTGGGCAGTCCGTGTTTTATAAATTTCCCGATGGGTGTTTTTCCTGGGGGGTGTCTATAAGTAT